TCTTACGACAAGCATAGTCGCCTTTTACGGCAAGCATGGGTTGCTGGAGACTTAATGACCAATATAATTGGCATTAATTGCCAACTGCATCAATTTCATATGGAAATGTAATTAAGATAATTGACATAACAACACACTTCTATATTAACTTGCTGTTCCCACAAAACATTTTCGTCAACCTGACAGTTAAATCCGAGAACTTTCAAAACTAGAAAAAACTACAACAAAAACAATTGGAAAATCTATGATCCAGCCCTCGGAAAACATTTAAACAAATGTATGTCTTCCCACTTCTCATAGCGAACACACAGCAAGTAGTTCATGGGCACTATGTGTGAGTCAGCCATTGGGTATTCTGGTGTGCACATAAAAAATAACATACCAGGAACTTCTCCAGCATTAGTAATTGGCACTAGTCCTGTAGTCCTGGCCCAACTGCACAATATTTAAGGTAACAAGACTGGTAGAGATTTGCGCTTTTTATTTTGCTCGATGTTATGATTAAGGAGTAGTGGACTAAAACTGTTAGTTTCTACCCCTGCTCATCTGAACCTGCTCAGACTAGAGGTTGATATTCGGCTCTTAATCTGCAGCTTAAGATGGTAATTTCAAATTTGATTTAAAACTTCCCTATTCCCCATAATTTACGAAAATAAGTAATCCAATTTCGAACAATGTCACAAATTTGTCCCAATTTGCTTGCCAAAGGGGGCGGTCGGGTAGCCTGGTGGTTAAAGCGTTCGCTCGTCACGCCGAAGACCCGGGTTCGATTCCCGACATGGGTACAATGTGTGAAGCCCATTTCTGGTGTCCCCCGCCGTGATATTGCTGGAATATTGCTAAATGCGGCGTAAAACCAAACTCGCTCACTCACTCGCTTGTCAAAGACACTTAGATGGAATCTTAGATAAACACATCTCCATCCTCAAGGACACAGCGTACAGCTTTGTTTCTCTGGCGGACATGTTTCAGCCTCAATGGGGCCACGTTCCACTGTCCAAATTTCTCATTTCAAGTCTTGACCTAGACGTATTTGTGAGTGGAATGGAGCTATTGTCTGTGTGACGGAGGCTATAACCAACTGCTGAATACATACGCATTATTACGCTGGTTCTTAACATCTTCAGCAACCCATGCTTGCCGTAAAAGGCAATTATGCTTGTCGTAAGAGGCGACTTACGGGATCGGGTGGTCAGACTCGCTGACTTGGTTGATGCATGTCATTGTGTCCCAATTGCGTGGATCAATGCTTATGATGCCAATCACTGATCACTGGATTGTCTGGTCCAGACTTGATTATTTACAGACCGCCGTCATATAGCTGGAATATTGCTGAGTGCGGTGTTAAACAACAAACCAAAATCTTAGTAAGAAGTGCAGGTGCATGAGTGTTGTATGTTTGATATGAGTGGCTGTTGTAATTTATATTGTTATACCCTATTTTACCATAATATCACTTGTGTATATATACATAGTTTTCAGCAGATCTATTACTCCATTATGCAGATTTGTCTGGGTAACAAGTGCCACATGTATTATTCACTCGTATTACCAGTGCAGGTTTCACCTATCTAGCATGATATATCATCACAGCTGTTCTATAGGTATTTTATCGGAGATCTAGATAACTTTTAGAGCAAATGACTTTTTACTCTAGGGTATCTATTTTAATTGGGTTATTACATTTTTCATTGGGTAACACAATATTTTTGCAATAATCTATTCATCACTCTATTGGTTTTTTCCCCAAATGAGTGAATATTTTAAGTTTAAAAAAAAATAAAATAATGTTTTAGATGTATATAACTGTTCTAAATATATAGGCTTGACTCGGAAAGTAAATTAGCTTGTAATTGTGTTTAGGAAATTAGCTCCTTTGTATCCCTTGGGTATTTACGCCAGAGCTCCAGATAAGCTTTTGGGGCTGTGGGTATTTTACCCATGCATTTTAAAATCATTGGGTATCAGTAATTCTATCTGGGTATTCAAATTTCTGTTACCCACTAGTTTTTACACATGTGGGTATTTAAGTTAAATATTTAAAAACACTAGACATCTAGTCCCTGCAAACTGGTGTCATGTGGGTTCGAGAGCTTTATAGGACTCAAAAATACCACGCTACTTCCACAAGAAAGTGTGATGGCAAATGATCATGATGTAACTGTTATCGTGGAGTTTGGCAAGGTTGACAGAATGCCCGTCTATAATTTCAAAATAAGTTGCTGATTTGCTAATCGAATACGCAGGGTTACTTCACAATATTTTGATGATACGCACAAGTTTTATTTTTGTAGCTTATCTGTAATGTTCGTTGCGTATTTGATACGCTTGGATTTTATTTTACTGCATATTTCTGCATTTCTGATGCGTATCTTACGCAGATACGCAGCTTATCTGGAGCTCTGATTTACGCATGCTGTGTTTATACATTTGAGTTTTTCATTTAATGCATGCGTTTCTGTACGTAGGATAATTGAAAGTAGTTGGGTTTTGAATATATTTGGGGGTATTTTATGCAAATACTCTGTTTATCTGTAGTTCTGTTCTATGTTCCATGGAATTATTATGGTTCTGTTCTGAGGTCCAAAACCTTTCAAATGGCGTGCTGGTTTTCTTGGAGGAATTAGTCAGCAAAGAGCCGGAGTCACAGGAGACTAATTACAATTTTGGTTGCAAGAAACATGAGTGAGTGAGTATGGTTTTACGCCGCTTTTAGCAATATTCCAGCAATATCACGGCGGGGGACACCAGAAATGGGCTTCACACATTGTACCCATGTCGGGATTCGAACCCGGGTCTTCGGCGTGACGAGCGAACGCTTTAACCACTAGGCTACCCGACCGCCCCGCAAGAAACATGAACAATGAACATTATCTTAACTATACTGTATAGCTGAGGGTGGCACAGAGAGTCGGTACAACCCTCTGGGCTGTGGGTGAGAGGTCTGCTTGGTATGAGCATCAAACCCCTTTTCCTTAACCATGTTAACATCTATCTATTTAACTAAAATTTAGAACATAAAGGAATAGGATTGGTTGATTCACAATGAGGTGTGCCCTGTGGTTAATGAATGGCTGGACAGAGAGGAATACTTAATCCTGTTAATCCTGTTGGCACTCATCTTGTTGACATATTTACTGGGTGCTTGGAAAGAGATTATGGTATCATTATAGACGAGCTTGTATGGGGGCTAATCCTTAATGAGTCTAAATTAAAGTAATTGCTGAATGTTATTCTAATATAGGTGATGACAGATATACTTAAATAAAATAGTTCAAGGCAATCTATAAAAACTATGTAGACATATCTTTGTCTTACTGAACATTATACCTGAGAGTTGGGATCTTGTTACCTTAGGCTAGTATTTATCTAAAGCTTTAAATCAATTAAACTATGTAGACATAACTTTTGTCTTATTGAATAGTATGTTTTGGAGATCGGATCTTGTTACCTTAGGCTAGTATTTATCTAAAAGCTTTAAATCTATTAAACTATGTAGACATAACTTTTATTACTTGCCCGTGAAGAGATCACCCGTTTAATAAACATACAGCTGTATTACACATTGTGTAATACCAAAACGCGTGCTTGTGTACTCTCGGAACACGTTTCACAAACAAATATTGAAAGCTCTCAACATCTCTTGGCTTATTCAAAGACATTGCGTGTGGAGTTGATAGATCACTGAGAGGAGCTTATGCACACTCGATGACCCCAGCAACCTTGTTGCTAGGCTGACGTCACATGGCATTGTTTCGCCGATGGGTCTTGCAACAAAAATCCACAAATTACGTCATCGGGTATTGTGACGTTATTGTAAAGTTTGAGGTACAAGGCCCGTTCCACAAGGCGATCGTATTGTAGCGCAACGACAGTCGTTAGTCTAAGTTAAAGTATGTGAGTTGGGATAGTCTTAGCCCTACGATAATTTTGTGAATTCTAAAGGTGGACCGTTGTATGGTATTAAATTCATACCTTTCAACTTTTGAAGTATTATTCTGTTAAACTCAATTGGACTATGCCGTGGATCGTGTAGGTGTCAGCTAGCCTATTCATACTCGACAGTATAATTCTAAAAACGTTGTAAATGGCAAGTAATAAATAAAATACTAAACTCGATCCCGTGTAAAACCAATTTTATGAAACTCGTGAATAGTTGTGGTATTTGACTCGCTTTTGCTCGTCAGATACCAGAACTATTCACTCGTTTCATAAAATTGGTATTACACAGGAGCTCGTTTATTATTCTATATTTGTCTTATTGAGTAGTATGTCTGGGAGATGGGATCTTGTTACCTTAGGATAGCATCTATCTAAAACACTATACTGTAACTGAAACTACTGATATCTTGTATCTCCATTTTACCTTGCAATACCTTAATATGTATTACTTGCTATTCTATAATCATATGAAATTATGTATAAATGCTACATCATGATCACTTATGAAAGCGCTAGCTGTTGATCTAATCATTATGTAATAAGTATATATCACCAATTATAGTGACTAATATGAGCTTTCCAGAGAGTAGTTACAAACATGGTCTCGGTACATTTCTCTCGTAATTATACCAATTAATCAAAATCCATTAAAGAGTTAATCAATTAAGAATAAATTAATTTTGTGAACTTACTAATGTAATAAATGACACTGTCTTGTCATAAGCTTTAAAATGATATGTCACAAGCTGAATACATTTCAAAAAAGATATCTTCATATCTTTCAAACTGTATATTAATTACTTATTTAATTAGAGTCAAATTACAATATTTTCCCCCCGATGGATTCACTAAGACTTTTAGTATAGTGTTCACTGATGTTGACTGAGTACAAAACAGCTGGATATTTCTGTTGCAATTTGTTTAGAGTCAAACATCACTTCTCCTGGCCTATAAGCCGAATTTGACATAACTGTATTCCTGGTGTGGATCAAGCAATGAGAAACTGAACGCTCGTCACCTGAAAAAAATTGGTGCCACCTGAAAAAATTTGGTCTCACCTTGTGAGATTCCGTATCGTGTGTGGTAGTTCTTGGATCCTATTGCCTCCTAAATATAAACACTTTAACCTTCGCAATTCTGCCAATTGTGGAGGGAGAGTTTCAAAAAGGTTCCCACTGAAGTTGACAACCTCTAGGCTCTTCAATAGTCCAAAATCCTTGGGTAGAGATTGTTCGTCAAGTCTGTTATTTCTGGCGGTGAACGTTCTCAACTGTTTCAGTTTCACGATCTCATCACTTATATGTGAGACGTTGTTGTTGCTAATGTCCAGCACGATCAACCGGTTAAATATGGACACAGTTGGGGGAAGAACGCTGATGTTGTTGTGGTCAAGCTGTAAAGCACGGAGCTCGTGTGCACGTGAAAGAAGGCACTCCGGTAAAGTGTCCAACTCCGCGTATGACAGGTCTTCCGCATTTTCTCCATGAAACTCACTATCCGACGAAGAAGATTCATAAGCCGCCATGTTTTCACCGTTTCGGTATCCTAGCTGTATGTCCTCTCAACCTTCCTCCCCTCTTCTAACCTGTCAAGTTCTCTGTCCGTCCCATATGTATCCGCAAGTCATGCGTCGGTTACGTGTTGAGGTGAAGGTCGGTGGCATCTTGTCAACTTCTACAGCAGTTGTCTCCCTTTAGATACTATATGGCTATACACTGGAACGTTTTCTTTGGAAAGTATGTCAGGCGTGTGCTGCCTAGGTTGGTCTATATTGACGGTTATGGAAATTAATTCGTGTCACCACAGTGAATGGAGGCCACACGTACATCGGGGACCTGGTCAATGTCATTGGTAGAACGCTGGATGTTTAAGCAGCCGCTGCCATACATATACGATAGACTCCGAGAACATATGTTCCATTCATCGAATTAAAAAAATGATGGCATTTTGATAGTAATTTAAAACAGGAAAAAACCCACGCATTCAGAATACTTTTTTGCTTTTATGTGACTTTCTAGCTGTTGGGTTGATTTCCAACATTTCTTGGGACCTTGACTTGTCATATAAACTGCTTTATGCATATTTTCCAATTTGGTGACAGCGAAGAGGTGTTTTGTTGTTCAACGCCGCAATTTTTAAGCCGCAATATTGGCCAGCTACGTACATCATGACGCCGGCCTATAAATAATCGAGTCTGGACCAGACAACCCAGTGATTGATGTCATGAGCCGAAATCAACGTCACCAGGTTACGATGACACGCTTGTCAACACAGTCATCGAGCCTGACTACACGATCCCATTCGTGACCAACTCGTGTTATTCCGGGACAAGCTTAATTCTTGCAGGTTACGGAAACGCTATAACGACCAGCATGTTTAGGTTGCTGGGGACCTATTTTAGGTTGCCCGGCAACCACACGGCGGTTATAGTGATGCAGAAGAATGTCCTAACAAAGCTTAATAAAATAATGAAAAATACATTGTCTCTTGCAAAATCGCTGGTCTCTAGTGACACGTACTGTTATCTTTCCTGACCTTGATGTGGAGAAACCCAGCTGATTGTTTTCTTTAAAAAAACGTTATTTGAATTTTAGTTCTGTTCTGTAAACATTTACACACAGAGAGAGAGAGAGAGAGAGAGAGAGAGAGAGAGAGAGAGAGAGAGAGAGAATGGTGACTTTATATTTAATGTGTATATTTCATTGTTCTGATCAAGATCATCGTATCCCAATTGCGTAGATCGATGTTGATGATGTCAATCACTGGACTGTCTGGTCCAGACTCAATTATGTCGGAAGTCGACACGCAGCAATAGGTGAAATTGGTTTAACGTCGCGTTCAAGATTATTGCACTAATATAGCGACGTGCATGCATGTGTTGTGTTGTGTGTGTGTGTGTGTGTGTGTGTGTGTGTGCGTGCGTGCGTGTGTGTGTGTTCTGAATAATGCCGAGTTTATAGTGCTAGGCCTCTAAGATACCATGCCGCAGATGAATACCCCACTCAGACACAGTATACTGACTCAGAGCCGACCTGTCCTTGTTTAAGCCCTTTAATGCCGAGCACCAGTCAGGGTAACAACAAGTACCATCTTTTAACGTCGTTTGCCACGACTCAGCCGGGAACTAAACCCCCGACCTCTCGCTCTCCGGGCAGAGTACGAGTAGTTTGTATCTAAACATATGTCACAATTGTGTTATATTAATAAATTATCAGTGTTGACCAGAAAAGCAAAGGCGGAAGTAGTACATCCGGGTTTTTTCGCTTTGCCTGTTTGCGCGAAGACGGTACCAAGTTGATAAAATGGCTTCAAGAGCGGCACGGCTTTCCCGAGAATGAAGCGAGTAGTCACGAATGAGCTCGCCGTTATGACACTGTTGTCTTATTATATATGTTGAAAGGGAATTTTAGTTTGACGTCCAAGGGTCACGTGTTACTTTTGGTCTTCCAGCCCCGGGATGTGGTTCACTGGACTCTTTAGGTGACTTTGTTATATTCATATTATACAAGATAACTTCTTGCCAGGTATATGACGGTTGTATTTCGATATTAAATGTGTGTGAATCAAAACCGCATTTTGTAAGCAAATTATTTTTGAATATATTTTAGTCTATACATATAATCCACTTTACCCTTACATTAATGTTTTAGCTGTGTAAAGTTCGCTTTCGTCAACACTATCAAAACAATAACAGTGTCCAGATCTAGAAATACAATGAAATAACGGTCGGCAAAATTATCACAGAAGTAGGTTGTTTAACGCCACAGTCAGAAATATTCAGCTATACAGCGTCAGTCTGTAAATAACCGAGTCTGGACCAGACAATCTGGTGATTGACATCATGAGCGTCGACCTATGTAATTGGGATACGATGACATGCATCAACCAAGTCAGCGAGACTGACCACCCGATCCCGTTAGTCGCCTCTTACGGCAAGCATAGTCGCCTTTTACGACAAACATGGGCCGCTGAAGACCTATTCTACCCCGGATCATCACGAGAGACAAGCATGGGTTGCTGTTGACCAATTCTAACCCGGATCTTCACGGGAGAAAAGCATGGGTTGCTATAGGACCAATTCTAACCCGGATCTTCACGGGAGACAAGCATGGGTTGCTGAAGACCTATTCTACCCCGGATCATCACGGGAAACAAGCATGGGTTGCTGAAGACCAATTCTAACCCGGGTCTTCACGGGAGACAAGCATGGGATGCTGATGACCAATTCTAACCCGGACCTTCACGGGAGACAAGCACGGGTTGCTGAAGACCAATTCTAACCCTGATCATCACGGGAGACAAGCATGGGTTGCTGAAGACCAATTCTACCCCGGGTCTTCACGGGAGACAAGCATTGGTTGCTGAAGACCAATTCTAACCGGATCTTCACGGGTTCACATGGGGATTCCAACATTCCATCTGGCTTTGCGATTATGTACGTGTGCATAATGTCTTTGTGAAGTAGGATGTTATTGGCAGCTAAAAGTTAACTTCTTTTTTTTTCACGGTCTGTCACGGAAGTAAACTTGGGGAGTCCTCAACAATACTATTTCACCTATCTGTGTCAATTAGATGGGACTCGCTGATACATGGATCTGTTTACAGCTGATAATGATACACTCGGGATCACTCGGTGCAGGATGTAACAACTCGTGAATCGCTGGCGTCACACGCAGAGGGTTAACAGAGGTCCCTACCCAGGGTCAAGAAGTCATCAAAACAACTTATTGACAACCCTAGTTTGAATGTCTCTATCTGGCCAAACCTTATCGCTCTGGCCACCTCAGTGTACAGCCTGGCCGTTGGTCAAAGGACCAGGTGACCGGTCAATCAGCAAATAAAACCAAAATTGTGTACCACATTGTGCGTTGTAGGTCCCTGTTGTGAATAAATAGTGAGGTGAGGTGAAATTGGGTTAACGTCGCGTCCAAGATTATTGCACTTATATAGCGACGTGCATGCACGTGAGTGTGTGGCTGCTTGTACTAGTCCGGACTGATGCCGATTTATAGTGCTAGCTCACTGAGATACCATGCCGCAGTTTAACATGAATACCCCACTCAGACACAGTATACTGACTCCGAGCCGACCAGTCCTTGTTTTAGCTTTTTAATGCCGAGCGCCAGACAGGGAAACAACAAGTACCATCTTTTAACGTCTTTTGGTATGACGCGGCCGGGGATCGAACTCCGGACCTTCCGCTCTCCGGGCGGACGCTCTACCACTAGACCCCGGAGGCGGTCGAATAAATAGTGACTTCCAGACTTCTACCGGTCTACCTTTTCTCCCGGCAATTGACTTGTGTCTGCCTCTTGACCCATATATAGTGACTTTATGCGTGGTTGCCTCTTACTGTGTTGCAAGGATGTTTGGCTGTTTATGTACAGAGGACCGCCTCCGTGGTCTAATGGTCGAGCGTCCGCCCGGAGAGCATTTTGACCGTCATTTCTGCCATTGTTCCACTCGCTTTATTTACAAATTATGAGATGAAATTCCAATCCAAATTGCAATTGTCACTATTTGAACGTTTCCGTTTATTTGAATGATGTTCAAATAAAATGAATATATATTTCAGGTTCTATATGAATCGCCTGAAAGTGCGAAGCGGGCTACATGCAACAAATCTCTGAACATCTAAATTTGGGATCCGAGGGCATGATCAGCAAGCTTCGACAAAGCATCGAAATCAGCAGAGAGTAGTGTAAGTATGTAATGAACAAAAAGAACTAAACCTTCACAGGACATGTTTTTGGCTATTTTATGTGAAATATTTTAGAGAATCAGTCTTGTTGTTTCAATTTCAGGGTGCATTGCAGATAATCAGTACCATCCATGGAAAGTATATTGCACACAGCACACGTCTACACAAAGGAGGAAAAGAAACAAGGTTTTGCAGATCAAATAAGAAGGTACTTGTGTATATTTTGCTCAAACCTTTATCCAAGTAAGTGGTAACTTTGTTAGTCAAATGACATTTTTGGCAAAACATTTTGCAACCTATAAATAATGAAACAAATGTCACCGTAATCTTGCGTTTACTAACGAACATTTGTTAGAATGTCCTATGTAATATGTACGAGTTTGATAACTATATGACTATGACCAAATAAATGTTTTGTGTTGTAGGATGTTGGGGAGTCATATTTGACATGAAGTTTCCTGAAGCCTGCGATGGTCATGTCGCTGTTACGAACATCGTCCTTTGGGGATATTTACCCACAAGAAACATCTGCGAAGTACATGCGCTTCGTGAAAGACTTGAAACTTAAGTTATCTTAAGTATGGAAGTATGCTTCAATTTGCTACACGACAGTTTGTAATGTTTCATGAAGAACTCTGACTCATAAGTGACTTGAATATCCATGATCATCCCAAACAAATATAATAAAGAATTCATGGTTGCAGTTCAGAATTTCGTCCGTGTGATTTTATGCCAGAGAATATGCATGGGTGTATGGTTCAAATTCTTACACCTTGAAAAATATCGGGTAAATTGTATTCGACACACACGATGAGTTGTCATTTCAGTACTGTGGAAGGACGTATCCGAGAACGTGTAGTGTTCTGAATCTCGGCCCAGAACACTTTACAGACGTTCTAAAAGTGTTACATCGTCAGAACACGTTGAAGCGTTCTAAATATGTTTGTAGAACACTCCTGTTCTGGGTCGAGAACATCAACGTTCAGAATATTTTCAGAACACATGGACGCGTTCTAAAAGTGTTACATCCATGTGTTCTGTCTAGTGTTCAGAAGTGGAACACTTGGGTTTAGAGTGTAGCTGGAATATTGCTGAGTGCGGCGTTAAACAACAAACAGACAGACAGACACGGCCTGGTTGCGTTCAGGCGTGTGTTTTAGGTATAGCTTCGTCCATCACTAGCACTTTTCATGTTATTAATCGTCCTTGTCCATTTTTCCAGTTTCATAAAAGCATCCAATCAGTGTGCGAGGCATAAACATGTTCTTGTTCTTGTCATATAATATGTTCATATTTGATATCCCCATTGGCTTCCCTTAAAAAAGAACCAGTGAAGATCCGGGGTAGAATAGGTGTCATAAAGTAATGAATAAATACTGTTCAATACTAATAAGAATAGTGAGGCTGTTGGCCTATTGCCGATGCGACCGCCTCCGTGGTCTTGTGGTAGAGCGTCCGCCCGGAGAGCGGAAGGTCCAGGGTTCGACCCCGGGCCGCGTCATACAAAAAGACGTTAAAAGATTGTACTTGTTGTTACCCTGTCTGGCGCTCGGCATTAAGGGGCTAAAACAAGGACTGGTCGGCTCGGAGTCAGTATACTGTGTCTGAGTGGGGTATTCATGTTAAACTGCGACATGGTATCTCAGTGAGCTAGCACTATAAATCGGCATCAGTCCGGACTAGTACAAGCAGCCACACACACACACACGTACATGCACGTCGCTATATAAGTGCAATAATCTTGGACGCGACGTTAAACCCAATTTCACCTCACCTATTGCCGATGCTGTGTACATGTCGTCGGGTGTGATTTCGTTTGTCTGCCATTCCGTTCCGGTTCGACAGTTGTATGCACCCGATTCATACTTTTTATGTAACCACGTGCTGTCCGCGTGCGTGTGTTGACAAACTGCCATGCCTTGCCTATGATGATGAACTAACTGCCATTAAATTGTCTTGAATGACCACGGAGACTTCTTCGTCTTCTTTTCAATAGGTCTTTAGCAACCCATATATACTTGCCGTAAAAGGCGACTATGCTTGTCGGAAGAAGCGACTAACGGGATCGGTCGGTCAGGCTCGCTGACTTGGTTGAAGCATGTCATCGATCCCAATCGCGTGGATCGATGCGCATGATATCAATCACTGGACTGTCCGGTCCAGACTCGATTATTTACAGATCGCCGTCATACAGCTGGAATATTGCTGAGTGCGGCGTAAAACAACCAACCAACCAACCAACCCTTCAAAAAGACATTCAATCACTGTTCGGACGTCCTGTCTGAACATAAACTTGCCAATGGTGTTTAGAGGGGCGGTCGGGTAGCCTAGTGGTTAAAGCGTTTGCTCGTCACGACGAAGACCCGAGCTCGATTCCCGACATGGGTACAATGTGTGAAGCCCATTTGTTGTGTCCCCCGTCGTGATTTTGCTGGAATATTGCTAAAAGCGGCGTAAAACCATACTCACTCACTGTTTAGAATGTTAGAAGCCCTTCCAATGTCATGTTGTTTCCGTTCCCAAACCTCAGTTCTCCTTAATCGTTGGTGGGGGCCACGGGTGGCCCAGTCGTCTAAGGCGCCGAGATTCGCTGTGCAGCGTTGCGTCCCTTGGGCACGCCAGAAACCTATGATTGTGGGTTCGAATCCCGGTTCGCCCCGATTATGTTTCTAGGTTTGTCAGCACCATACCCGCGCTCGTGGGTTTCACCGAAGTTGTAAACGTCTGAGACCTGCATCACTTCGGCCTTTCCTCCCACATTAAGCTGACACGCCGTGATATAGCTGGAATATTGTTAAAAGCGGCGTTAAACCCAACTCACTCACTCGCTTAAAGTCTGTTGTTTACTTAGCTGATAGTACTCTGACAATTTCGACAAATTATAGTTATGGTGAAGTATAGTTCATATTTTGACCCATTTCTTTAAAAGAAATATTGTTTTTTATTTAACCAGCATGGACATTTCTGATTGCCATTGTGTTAAACTTAAACTTTTTAATTTTAGCATTTTCAAAAACACTTAATTTTGATTTTTAACGCTAAGAATAAGTCCTTGACGGTGCTAGACAGTTTCCTTCTAGTGCTCATCCAAAGGACGCGGTCGTCAATTCTAGAAATAATGTCACTTTTATGAGAAGGGTGTTTTACAGCAGTTAGGAGAGCGCATAAAAACCAGTTTGAAACACAATACATAAATTACAAAAAGAAACTGACCCTCCCACAGGGCAGCCAATGACGTCAGAGTGAACCCGATCCAGTTAGTGGCCTCTGTAACAGATACCAACAATGACTTGACAAAACTGGACTGATAGGTGTTATCAGCGCACTGCCAGCTACAGGCGTGTTGAAACGCCGAGGTCACAGGCGCAGTTCTCAGTTATTGGGACGACTCAAGCGAGTGTGACTGAGGACGTTATAGGGCAGTTTGGGTGGTTGGTTTGTTGTTTAACGCCACACTCAGCAATATTCCAGCTATATGACGGCGGTCTGTAAATAATCGAGTCTGGACCAGACAATCCACTGATTGATATCATGAGCATCGATCCAAGCATTTGGGATCGATGACATGTATCAACCAAGTCAGCGAGCCTTGACCACCCGATCCCTTTAGTCGCCTTTTACGACAAGCATAGTCACCTTTTACGGCAAGCATGGGTTGCTGAAGACCTATTCTACCCCGGAATTTTCACGGGTCAGGGCCCCGTTCCTCAAAGCGATCTTAGCACTACGATGATCGTAAGCCTATGTTAAAGTATGGGACTTACGATCACCTTAGCGCTAAGATCGCTTTGAGGAACGCGACCCAGGACGTTATAGGGGCAGCATTGCACCATTTCAACAAGGTTCCACTCCTCAAAGCGACCGTAGCGCTGACGATCGTAACTCCTATACTTTGCCATCGACTTACGACAACTTAGCACTAAGACCTCTTTGAGTAACGGGGACCTGTTTAAAGTTCTACATTTGCCATCGTACGGTGAATTTGACAGCTATCTTGGCTGTAGTGGCGTGAACTAACGCCGCCTTTGATCATGTCAATTAGTGTGTGGGTGAGTGAGTGAGTATGGTTTTACGCTGCTTTTAACAATATTCCATCAATATCACGGCGTAGGACACCAGAAATGGGCTTCACACATTGTACCCATGTGGGGAATCGAACCCGGGTCTTTGGCGTGACGAGCGAACGCTTTAACCACTATGCTATTCCACCGCCCCTCATGTCAATTAAGTGTGTCAAGGCATGACAGACTAACTAATTAGTGAGTGAGTAGTGTTCTACGCCGCTTTTAGTTATATTCCAGCAACATCACGGTGGGGGACACCAGAAATGGACAGACTGATTAAGAGATATATCGAGAATACCACACTTATTCTCGTTAGATACCATAGAAAGTTCACGAATGTCTTAAAAATAGTATCTAACGAGAATGAGAGTGGTATGTTATTTATTACCCACGTTAAATACGTATTTAAGTGTCAATGCATAATTATAATTAAATTAAATAGTTATCGTTAAACAGACCAAACCGAAACCGGTTGCAAATCTGGTTGCGCATGGATATAGATATAGATGTCCAAATATGGGCATTGTTGACATTCCAATGCAAAGGCCTCACATTACCAGAATGTTCCTCCCAAGCATGACAGCAGCAACGCTAAAGATCTTTCATTAGGAATTTCGTCAAATAAATTAAATGGTAATTCAACCGCATGCATAGAGTCCTTGAAACTTGAAATAGAATCACGAAATATCGCGGTGATTGATAAACGAAGATACTTGTCGCTATGAAAATGGACATTACTTTAAAGGAGCAATTTTGTCATTACTGTAAGTTACATTCCTTATCGGCGGAATGGATTGTTTTCCCTTTGTAAGTATTAGCACACATGCATGCAGCTGTCTTCGTTATATACTTAATCATCTCAATAGACTCACACTTAGTCGATGTAAACATGTCTTTAAAATAATTATTTTTTTCTTTTCTTCGAAAGAAGCGTTCCTCTTCTGCTGTGGAATCAAGCAAACTAGACTTGGTTAGTTTGATCTAGACTTGCCTTGGCCTTTAGTAAAAACAAAACAGCTAAAAATATAACTTCCAGGGTCGGGACTACAAGGGCAACCGCACTCCTTAATACCGTAACATCACATTTATTATATAATATCTTTACGATATCCTACTTATCCTCCCTTATATATGCAATGTTTGTATTTTTAGGTGACGTCGTAAATATATACTGATTAATAGACTGTCATCAAGCCTAGAATCGACTTTCACGCCGAACTGGACGACACGAAAATTCAGCCAGCCACTCAAGGCGCCGAAAATTCAGCCTGCCACTCAAGTCACCATGAACAGTTCGTGTCCTCACCAGACAAGCCAAGAGTTGATAGCATAGGTCTGGTAGGCTTTAAATAGCTCCTGTTATAAATTTATATGTACTCTAAAGTATGTACAATATTAAATAGACTTGATTTACTTAAAGGTTTGTGGACCAGCCCCCCCCCCCCCCCCCCCCCCCCCCCCCTTCTGAATTTTCAAACAGAGACTTCTGTGCTTACATTTATAATAGTTCCTGTTTATCTTCTATTTAGTTTTCCGCTGTATTTATTTCCTATATTGTTCTTAATAATATGCGCATTCAGGGAGATGGAATTTTATCAAATTAGCATGTATTGGGTACGAAATACATGTTGAACACGAACGGATGCTTCGTTGGTCAAGAACTTTTAAGAACCCGCAACATATTAGCCTTGAAACGCAATAGGCAGAGTAGCCACGGCCACTAATCCGTTAATCCAAGACTACTG